CTCCCTGTACCTCACACCTTTACCAAACTGTCATCTCCTAGCAGGGTTAGTTGTGGATGTTTGTCATGGTGTGATGTGCTTGGAGAGGACATTCTGGTAGAGGGAGTAATGGAAGGCTGGCAGCCCTAGAGGGACACAGTCGGTTGTAATGCCTGCTCGACAAACCTGTTGTGTGAGCTCCAGCAAGTCATTTCACCTCTCTGTGCTTCCGTCCCCTGCCACCTCTCGGCTGTCTTGTCTATTTAGATGTGTGACCCTTTCGAGCAGGGACTGTCTCACGGCGTGTGTGTACAGTGTCTAACATGCTGGGGACCCAATTTTGGTTGGGCCATAAATAACAACAACATTACATTGTAACTCTCTGGGGGTGGAAGCAAATGTTGTGTGTTCCACTGCAAAGCTGGGGCCTCGCACTGATGCAGGACTGATTTGTTCCTAACCTGAGCCTCGGGCAAGTGCAATTTTGCAGGTTAAATTTCATCCTGAGGGGAAAAACAACAACATTTATCTGGGCAAATGGATGATAAATAAGAAGGCATCTGACTGAAAATGAAAAACAATCATTCAGCTACGTGGTGGCACGTTGTGAAAACAGACTAGTGCTGTTCAGATGTTAAAAGCTAGTCTTGGCAAAGTTAGATTATCCCTGGGAAAGGTGCTCTCATGAGACTTCAAGTACATCCTGGTTTTGGCTGGGCTGGAAACACTGTTGACCGGGGCCGGCTCCAGGCACCAGACGAGAAAGCACGTGCCTGGGGCGGCACATTGTAAGGGGCGGCATTCCAGCCAATCTTGGGGCGGCCAGCCCAGCCCTGAAGGGGCACGGACCCTGGCCCGGGGGGGCAGGAACTAGTGATCCCCGCTGCTCATCGTGCCACCGGGCTCCCCGGGACGCACCACTCCCCGCCGCCTGCACCGGCCTCCGCCTCCCGCGCTGCTCTGAGCCCGGCCCGGCCGAGCCGCCTTTAAAGGAGTGGCTGAGCCAGCACCTCCTGCAGCCCCCGGGCACTGGAAGGAGGGAGAGTTCTGCGGCGGCCCGGCGGGCAGCGGAGGCAGGGAGGGAGGGTTCTGCGGCGGCCCGGCAGGCAGCGGTGGCAGGGACGGTTCTGCGGTGGCCCGGCAGGCACCGGAAGGAGGGAGGGTTCTGCGGCGGCCCGGTGGGCAGCGGTGGCAGGGACAGTTCTGCGGTGGCCCGGTGGGCACCGGAGGGGCGGGCCCCACTGATCCTGGCGCCGTTTGCACTGTGCCGAGCCCCGCTGCAATGCCAGCCCCACACAGAGGTCGCAGACCCCAGCCAGCGCTGCCTGTGTCAGCCCCCTTGGAGCCTGCCCGGCCGGGAGAGGCACCCCAAGGCCAGAGGGGGGAGCCCCTCTTGCCCGGCTGCAAGCGGACTGCAGCGCCTGGTTGCCCACGGGCAGAGGGAGTGGGCGGGTGCCGCCCTTCACCCCCCTGCAAGCGGCCTTGACTGCCCTCCACGCGTTCCCTGCGGCTGCCGTTTGTTTTTGGGGTTTTTTTGCTTTGGCAGTCCGGCCACCTTTTTTTTTTTTTCTTTTGCCTGGGGCGGCAAAAAAGCTACAGACGGCCCTGCTGTTGGCCAAATCCTCTCCCCTGTACAGGGAATTCTGCCATACTTGGGGTGGAATGGATTCCTCTTTCTCAGGCCACATAGCGACAGAACAGCGGTTATTGCACTCCCAGGGCTATGCTCCTGGTCGTTTACCTGCATCATCTGTAATTCTACTGCAGTTCTAGATCAGTCAGCTGAGTCAAGTTATTTAGTAGCGACTTAGCTTTACGCCCATGTGCAAAACCAAAATGTATTACAGTAAAACAGAAAACGAAATCCAAAATTATAAAATGTTAAAATACAGATAAAGAAGGATTAAAAAGAATATAAAGTATTAATCATATATAACCACTGCACCACTGGCTTTTCCTTATATTCTTGGCTGGCCACGCAAATAGGGCAACTGCTCATCTCACAGATACATTATCAGTTCCTAACAAATATTCTGTTTTTTGAGAGGTCGTAGAAAAAGGCATCTGGGATGAAAATATGCAGAGCAATATTGACCTTAACTGGAAATATAAATTCCAACATAAATAATGGGGTAGGTCTTCTACCTGCCCTGAGGCACACTGACAAAGGCATTCTACAGCAAATATTCTTTTTGGAAAAAAGATTTGGGATCAAGAAGGAATTTCCCCCGGGTCAGATTGGCAGATACCCTGGGGGGGCGGGGGGTTTCACCTTCCTCTGCAGCATGAGGCATGGGTCACTTGCAGGTTTAAACTACTGTAAATGGTGAACTCTCTGTAACCTGAAGTCTTTAAACCATGGTTTGAGGACTTGAGTAATTCAGCCAGAAGTTAGGGGTCTATTACAGGAGTGGGTGGGCGAGATTCTGTTGCCTGCAATGTGCAGGAAGTCAGACTAGATGATCATGATGGTCCCTTCTGACCTTAAAGTCTACAAGTATCTTACAGGCCAATTTCTTCCCTTCAGTGTACACACCTGGCTTCCACTAACTCCAGTGGGACCTCTGTGAGACACTGAAGGGCAAATCCTGCCCCCAATTTGTGGCTAGGTCATATTAAAGATAGAACTGAGTCTCCAAATCAAAAGCTCCATATCTCAGCTCCCTTGAACTTTGGAGAAGTTTGGCCTGAAGTATGTGTTTAGATGCCTGTATTAAAATAGCATGTAAGATCTGCAGTGGGTATACAGAGATGGTAGGTTGCAAGACTTTAGGTGCTGCATGCGTTCTAGTGCTGCACAGTGGGGAATCAAGACTCAGACGTTTCAGCACAGTTGTTGGGATTAAAGCCCGCTGAAGTCTGCTGCAACGTGCTATAAATATATTTCTGAGCACTGAGCCAACTGCATAAACTCGGAAGCAGCCTATTTCATTCGAAGGGTTTGTGTCAGCAAAAGCCTGAATTAGAATCTTGGAGGCACGTGCACAGCAGAGCTGGCCCCACCAGGGATGGATCACTGGTTGGCAAAGGCAAAGGCTCTCAGTACTGAGGGCATTCAAAGGCAAAAAGAGATGGTGAAAAGGGTAAGGCAGAATACAGGGGAAACACAGAATGTGAGATCATCACTCTGGGTATTTTGAAAACAAATGTCTAGCTTGGAGCGAGGGATGTGGCTGACCTTAGCAAGCATCCACTCCGGGATGGCCTCTGGGGGACAAAATCTCAAGTGAACAGCTTGTGAGATTTTGGTGCTACTTCTAAACTACCTCGTATCTGAACCCTCAGCTCCAGATCCAATCACCGCTTTCTTGGCCCAACTTCAGTTCATGTGACACGGGTGCACAAGCAGATTCACAACGAACGATAAATCCTTCCACTCTTGAGGCAAAGCGAAGTGCTGCCTAGAGATGCCTTAATGCATCCTGCTTGTGCAGTCTGAGGGTTTGGGTTTTTTTATTTTTAAGGAGATGGTGCGCATAGTTTGATCCTAGAGCTATGAGTTTCTTTAGGTTTGTCTACATGGTGGGATAATGTGGTGTAGACACTGTTGGTGCTGTTTGAAACAGCACTACATTCAAGTGCACTAGGGAACTTTTAGTGCACACCAACAGGGTCTATTACACAGACCAATCAACGTGGAACACATTAGTGCACTTTAGCAATCCCCGTAAAGCACATTACCCCACTGTGTAAACAAGCCCTTTGCATCTTGAATTCAGTGTTAGCTTCCATACAGTGGTACATCACTACAGCCAGTATTGCCACCCTGATTTAGTAGCAACAAGTGATGCAGGAAGCAGGCTGAGCTGTCAGAAACAGGGTTGACTAAACACCGAGGGTGTGTCTTCACTAGCATCAAGGGCATGTTCTTACCACATATTAGCTAACACAAGGTAACTCACGCAAGGTAAAATCCCAGTGGAGGCAGTTTGTAGTTTTCCACAAGTTAGCAGGGCAAACCCTAGGCTTCTCCATAGGCTTCTTAACCTGCTAACTTGTGTTAAAACTACAAACGCTCTGTCTTTGTTTGAATTTTACCTCATGTTAGTTACCACAGGTTAGTTAACACAGATAAAAAACACAACGCTTTTCCTAATGAAAACAAATATTCTGAGGCGCTAGTGTCTGTTTCTCGGCTATGCCCTTTGGCCTTCATTGCTGAGTCTTTGGTTCCTCACTAATCTAGCTCCTTCTTGAAACAAGACCCTTGGAGGTACTTCCATTCTGTTCAGAAAAGACCCTCAAAGCTGGGATGTCCAGAGCTCTTGGGTCTGCAGACTCGGAGCCTGATCACCTCCTGTGAGGGGGCCAAACTTCCACAATTCCCACTGGATTCATTCAGAGGTGAGGTTGCTCGGCACCTCTCATACCACACCCCCAACCATGTTTCCAATCTTTTGGGTCCAGAGAATGGATCCAGTTCCACTGAGCTATTTTGAAAACGATGTTTTCCACTACATAACAACTGCTTATCCCAGAATAGGTGGCTGGAGCATAAGCTATAAGTCTCCCACTTACCCACCCAGAGAATCATGGTATTGCCATCTGAGAAGGAATTACACATTAGCAATAAAATGCATTTCCCCGCCCCATAACTGGGAAAGCAAATAAGACAGAGGACGTTTTATAAAGTACATTCCACACTGCAGCACGTGCAGCGATGTAGTTTCATTGGTGCAAGTTCTCTTGGCAGAAATTCCTTTATTTACTGACAGTTGCTAGTGATTTATTGTTTCCCACCCTCCCACTCCTATAATAAATGTTTGCTTAGCTTTAAACACACTAATTATTATGGGTTCAGATTGTAAGATTTACCCTGATGGAATTTAACAACCTTTTCCTTTCTCAGCAGCAGGTTTGTCACAGTGAGTAGGATTTTTTTTTTTTAAATCTACTGGACAGACAGTACCTGGCTAATTTATCATTGGGATTTGTCCAGCCTCATTTCTTAGCTGTAGAACATAGGTACATAGACTCGAAGCACTCAGGTCAAGAAATAGCACTTTCAGAAAGGCACCTACCTAATAGCTGCACCCCACGGGTGAGTCCGTACACGTCAATCAAAGCCCACAGGGGTTCCGTGATCCTCACCCCACTGAAGAACAACATCGCAGCAGAGTCATTGACCCGATAAAACACCCGGCCCTTTTTGTCCACCCAGAATGCTATGATGTTTCCTTCATTTGCAAACTCTTCTGGCAGGGCCTTGGCCCAGAATCCACTCTGGGAAACCAAGTCCGGGCAAGCGTACTTTGGCAATGTGTCAGGATTAATCCGGGAGGGATCCTTGGAAGTAAATCCGAGTCGGAGAGCCCCACTCCAGCAACACTGCTTCTTTGTTATCTGCAAAGATAACAGCAATAAGAACATCTTGCATTCCAATAGCACTTTACAGGCTACGAGCTCCATGCCGTGCCATGCTGAAGCCCTCCTGCATGGTTCTGAGCGCTCTCAGCTCCCACTGGATTGGGTCCTGTATGTTCTAGAATAATTTAATCCACCACTAAAAATGTGGCCATCTCTGGGGTAGGACACGGCATCTGCATAACAGCACACAGCAAGACTGCAGAAAAGGTTAAGACATAACGTCAAAGAGACTGTATCAAGTTAAAACTACAGGGGGGATATAATTAGCCCTGGCGCGCGAACTAAATTCCATTTCTGGGGTAATTACATTCTGCCTTGCAAACCTACTCTTGGCAGAAGCACCAACAAATCTTTTCTGGTCAGAGGATTTTACATCTCATATGAAAGATGGCGCCTCCAGCAGCCCGTAGCACTGGGCTAGGGCATTGGTTCTTTCTTGACTCAGGGTGCCGAGTGCTGCCTACTGAAAAACCATCACTACTTCCCACAGCACCTTAAGGCTCTCCTAAGAGGTCTCCCAGCTACGTAAAAAACAATCTGCCGCCTGCTTAGCTTGTCAGATGGGATGACATCACAGCCCTACGGTAGCTGATTTGGATGCAACAAAATGCAATAAGGCATATTTAATGACATTAACTATATAAAATGGAAATGACAGAAGTCCATTTGTCGCTGAAAAACTGGGATTATTTATTGTAGCAATTTCACTGCAAATCCTAACTCCTCCTGGGACCTAGATAAATATGGCCTCGTTGTACAACTTGCTCTGCGGTGTCTTGCCAATATTTTATACTAATCACATGCTACACAAGTAAATATTCATATGGCGATATGGGGAGTATATCCCCTTGTATTCATCAGCCCCTACAAATAATCAGTTGCCAACACAGGCTGACTATAGGTAGTATCTGGGTTGAAATCTAGTGTAAACCCTGCCAAGCATTTGCATAGCTGGACACCCAAACACACTAATTTTTGCTTAAAAAAAAAAAAGGCAATGATTAATGATGGGCCAACTCCTCTGCTCAGCAAACACCCCTATTTGACAGGCTGGGGAGGGCCACGGGGCGTGGGCTGGGGAGGGAACAGGCATCTGCCATGCCTAGACTGTCAAGGAGTAGCTAAGTTATTCCATGACTGCTACCGCAGTCTGGGGTTGCTGCTTCCTACATCCCACCTCCACAGATCCACTAACTCTGGCCCCAGCCACACCCACTGCCTGGGATTCCACCTCCAAGAAGCTCCCTCAGAACACAGATCCACATCACACTGGACATCTCCACTTGCCGGCACTCTGGCCTGCTGAACAACTCTGGATTCATTGCCTAGTGGGCTTCTTAGAAGACTGAGGCTGGGTCTACACTACCGGCGGGTAGAAATCGACCTCTCGGGGATCGATTTATCGCGTCCCATCGGGACGCAACAATCGATCCCCGAATCGACGCTCTTACTCCACCAGCGGAGGTGGGAGTAAGCGCCGTCGACGGGAAGCCGCAGAGGTCGATTTTGCCGCCGTCCTCACAGCGGGGTAAGTCGGCTGCGATACGTCGAATTCAGCTACGCTATTCGCGTAGCTGAATTTGCGTATCTTAAATTGATCCCCCCTGTAGTGTAGATGTAGCCTTAGAGGAGCAGAGAAGGGTGTAGGATTAATTCTGAAATGACATCTGGCAAACAGGGTCAAATCCCACAGTCCCTCACTCAGTCCTGCAGTGGGAGTTTTGCCTGAACATGAGCTGCGGGATTGGAGGCATAGAAAAGAAGTTGGTGAGAATCTGACATAGAAAACACAAAAGCTTAGAGATGAGAGTTTGGGGAAAGAAAGAAAGAAAGAAAGAAAGAAAGAAAGAAAGAAAGAAAGAAGAAAAAAAAAAAAAGACCTGCTGGAAATGGACTCAGCAGAAAATAGACACAGAAAGGCAAAGGCATTCTTCACATTTATGTCAATCCCCAAGGCACTTTTTCTGCTTATGCTTGTTGATTATTCATGTGCAAAATTCCCATTAGTTTCAGTGGGAGCTCTGTTCGTAAAGCCCTAGTGCACAGATGAAAGTCCTGCCCGCTAATGCTTCATGTGTGTTATGGAAGATAAAATCCTAATATACATTGTCAAATACAAACAAACATCAAGCTTCCTGACTAGGGACAGGAGAACTGCTTCAGAACATAGAAATGACCCATAATCTTTGCCTAAAATGCAAACTTTTGGTGAGGTTTTTCAAAAACAAAATAATTAGTTAACTCTCATCTCCCATCCCAACCATCTCAGAATTTGTCAGGGTCATTTGTCTCTGCATTTCCCAGCTTCCAGCCAAAAATGCAACGTAACTAGATCAGTCCTGCTGCATTTCCAGCCTGCATGGAAGCAGGAAATGAATAGAAGCCTGAGTGAGGGATTTGTCCACCCAAGGGCCAGAACCAGAGAGGTGTTGAGTGCTCTCATTTCCTACTGACTTCAATTGGAATGAGGAAGCTTGGCACCTCTCAGGAAGCACTCAGCTCCAAGTTCAGGCTCCACATTTGCAGACCCAAAAGCTTTGGATATTTCAGAGACAGACTCAGACTTTTAAGGTCTTATCTGAATTGAAAGGAAGAACCTCTGAGCCTTTGGATATGCCCTAAAAGGTGGTTCAGCCGCTAAAGAGCCATAGCTAAACCCCTTCAGCTCTCAATGCACGGAACAGCATGTGAACTACAAGTCAGGCTACATGTGGTTTGTCTGAAGGCTTTGATGCAAAGAGATATCTGGCCAGGAGAAGTGGTGCCCCCCAGGCAGGGCCGGCACTTCCACTAGGCGACCCTAGACGGTCGCCTAGGGCAGCAGGATGTGGGGGGCGGCATTTCGCCACCCTCTCCGGAATTTCGGTGGTGAGAGGCTTCTTCCGCTCCGGGTCTTCAGCGGTGGGTCCTTCACTCGCTCCGGGACCCACCGCCAGAGTGCCCCGAAGACCCGGAGCGGAAGGACGCCCGCCGCCGAGAACGCAGCTTCAGAGGAGGAGCTGCCGCCGATTACTGGGGAGAAGCGCTGCTGCCTAGGGCGGCAAAACCCCTGGCGCCGCTCCTGCCTCCAGGAGAAGCCCTAAGCAGCAATCTATGTCGCCCTTCAGTGCACATGCCACAAAGGAGGTGAATCAGTCTGATCCCAGTGAGGAAGTGGGATTTCTGCAACCTCGTCTTCTCTGATCTTGACAGATGCAATCTTGGCCTGCTCATATCCCCATTGCTGCAAAGATCATTCTCCTGGCCCATCACTCTGACCATGTGACCCTTCTCTTTGCATCCCTGTAGTGGCTCCCCTTTCTGTATCACATCAAACACCAAGCTGCTTGTCTTCACTTTCCAGGCCCTTCATGACCTATCCCCATCCTACTTATCTCTCATGAGCCATCAAGATGTCCACTCCTGCCTCTGACCAGCCCATGGTGCCAGTCTCCATTGCCCACTAGTTACATTTTCAAGCAAGCATCTTTGTGCTTTCTCACATGCTGCCCCTCATGCTTGGGAGGAGCTCCCTGAAAACATCGGCAAAGTGACCATATTCCCCTGTGTGAAATCTCTCCTTAAAACTCTCCTTTGCTGTGATGCCTACAAAAAAAATAAACCTAGACTAGGGTTAGGCTGCTGGTGCGCTGACAGCACTGCCTGTCATGCTGAGCGGTATTATCTCATTATTTCCTTGTATTGCCCCGTCTAGCTACACCTTTCTCTGGTCATATTGTACGTTCTTTGGGGCAGGGACTGTCTTTTTGTTCTGCATCTGTACAGCACCTAGCAAAGTAGGGTCCTGCTCTGTGACTAGGGTTCCTAGACACAATGATAATACAAATAATTGATAATAATACGAATAAAGCAAGAGGATGGCACAGGCACAAGGTCGGTCATACCAAGAGCCTAGGACTCTGCGTTCCAGGAAAGGGATGGAAAACATAGGAACATAAGAACGGTCATAGTGGGTGAAACCAAAGATCCATCTAGCCCAGTATCCTGTCTTCCGACAGGGGCCAATGCCAGGTGCCCCAGAAGGAATGAACAAAACAGGGAATCATCGAGTGATCCATCCTCTGTCGTCCATTCCCAGCTACTGGCAAACAGAGGCTAGGGATGCCATCCCTGCCCATCCTGGCTAATAGCCATTGATGGGCCTATCCTCCATTAACTTATCTAGTTCTTTTTTGAACCCTGTTATAGTCTTCACAACATCCTGTGGCAAAGAGTTCCAAAGGTTGACTGTGCATTGTATGAAGAGGTCTGGTACTAAAACTAAGATGTCCCAATGGGCAAACTCTCTCAGTGTTGATATACACCCACTACCATGAGCCATACTTCCCTCACCCAAGACTCCCATCTATGCTTCTCTGGGAATTATGTTATATACAGGTTCTGCTACAACTCACTAATATTTTACACCTAGTCTTTCCTGCTAGCACTTGAGGCTGTTACAATGGCAACGAGGGAGGAGTCATTTACTCACCTTTAACCTGACCTGCTCGTAGATCACGATAGGCCTGTTGCTGAAGGTGATGGCGTTGCAGAAGCTGGCCTGCCGCTTCACTGCCTTCTGTGCCGTGTCCATGATGATCTGGGACCCCTTGGCGTGGGGATGGAAAAGCAGTGGGCTTATTGACAAAGCTCCGCACTGCGTGATGGGCAGACAATGCTTCTGCTTGTGGTGGCATCGGTGAGAGGAAGCCGGAAAGGGTCCACCTATAGAGTCTGAGACAGCATTTTAAAAAAGTGACATTTTAAATCTGATCTGAGTAATAATAGGAATCTCTCAGAGCCAAATCACAAGGCGACGTTAGAGGGAACTGCAGTGTGAGATAAGAGCTAGTCTAAATGCCTACACTGTAAATCACTAAAAAGTCTTTCTACAGTGTCTTGAACATAATAGAAGTCTATAACCATATAGATGGCTGCCCTCTAGAGAGTCTGATGATACAGAGCATGACACGGGGAAGACAGCTCAGCATCGGAGTGCATGGAAAGTTTCAGGGACACGTTTTTAGAAACAGAGGTCAAAACTCAGTTCCGAAAATTTACCTGCAAATGTGCACGTGCAACTGCAAGCCACTCAAGTGAATCCATGCACAGATGGCTGGCAGTCCCCACTTCCTGACTGCTTCCCTGCCCAGCCACCACCAAGATGCACCTACACCTGACCTGTCCTGCCACCCGACCTTCCAACTGCAGCCCCACCAGTCCCTCCCCTCCGTTTGCTCCCAAGATGCTGCTGTATCCAGCCTCCTCCTGCACCTTGCCCGCTGTTTCTCTCCCCACTCACTCTCTGCAATGCCATGTTCCAGCAACCTCCTACTGCCAACCCAACTGGTCTCCTGCACCAACCAACATCCTTCCTCCCCCCTCTTTCTCCCCAATGCTTCGCCAGCTGCAACCTTAGGTGAGATCCCATTTTTACACTGTCATTCAGGAATGAGAAGCTAATGGTTATGGTGGAGCAGGGGAGCTAAGAGGTGCATGAAGCAGGGCAGGGATTATGTGCATATCTAGCCAAGGATCCAAACAGACAGTTTATAAATTAATTGACCTGGTCACTGCAGTAGCTTTATTGGTTCATGAATGAATTGATTCATCTTTGTTTCTTCATAACATACAAAGCATGCAGCAGTTTGAACACAAAACAATCATTATATCAAGAACAAGTCATCGGCTTCCTTCTCCACATGCACAATAGTGTGTATATGTACACTGGTTGAAGGGTCCATAGAAGTAAGATACAGAAAGTCAATAGAAATAAATTGATTATTTGACGGTACACGAGAAACACAACCAAAGCAACGTTAACTCATGTGTTAACAATGCCATCCTTCTGTGTCAGTTTGTTTCATAAATTACACACAACTAAATACCAATAATAAATTCTGTAACCTTCAGACTGCATGGGCTACATGGAAGTAAGCATCAAATGATGAAATGAAAACTCCTTGGGTAGATTAATTGGCCACAATGGTGTCTTTTAGGAGTACATAAGAGTCATAAAAATTACTGTGGGCAAAACTATACTTCAGCATCATCTCTAATTTAGACAGTAACAGATCATCAGAACTGGACCCCGCTCTTTCCAGACATTGTGGTAGTTCAAATCTGTATCCAGACTTGGTTTCTTACGTCTGTTATTGTACTGGGTCTGAACCAAATCCCCAAACTTTGGAAAAGTTTTGATTCTAATCAGAACTGTAACTCACCCCTTTGCTAGTCTAGATGCGGATCCAAATTTATCTTAATTCACCCTTTCATCATTTTCTCACTACTACCTATAGATGTAGCAGAAATGCCAACATCTAGGCAGGCCCTCTCAGAGATCCAGAGAGGCCCGGGCTACTTCCAGCCTTTGAGGCCCCTAGCCATAATAAAAAATAAAAAATGCCAACACATGGCCTAATCTTGTACCATCAGAACCGATAGATTTTTATTAATATATATGAACATTTTTAACTCTTGAATATGACAAAATCTATATCAGTTAACAAAAAAAATTGTGTCTTTTACCAAATCACATCTCTTATTTGCTTAAATTTGCCGCTTTAAGCTGAGAGTGTGTGTCACATTTTGGTCTGATAGGGCTGCACATAAAAACAAGTTGCAAAACTTATCAAATGCCAAAAAATTAACAAGTGTCTAAATTTGAGGCCCCCTTTGAGCTTGAAGCCCAGGTGAAATGGCTCTCCTGCCCCCCCCCCCCCGATTGGCCCTGCATCTAGGACTTGTAAAACTAGACCAGACATATACAGGAGAAGAAAACAACTGTAGGTAATAATCCTGTTTTAGCAGGGAGAGGGACTGGGGGACGTACAACACACACAGCACTTTCAACACAAAACACTCATTATATTGAGAGTAAGTCATCCACCTCTTTTTTTCCTCATACACAGCCTGGCGTGTGGGCATGGGGGTGGGGCAAGGATGTTCATAGAAATCAGATAAAGAATATCACTAGAAAATACTTGATTATTTGACCCAGTGGATTGGGAGCAGGTGGCTTGCAGAAGCAACAGCTTGCGTGTGGAGTGTGTGGCAAACGGCAGCTGGAAAAGTATGGGGAAAGCACAGGTGGAGCAGCCAACAAGAGAGAGACAGAGATTTGTATTTTCTAGAGGAATATTGGTCAGATAGAATATGACCGATGGAGTGCATGTAGTCCAGTGCCAGGTGATTCAGAGGAAGGTGCAGAAAACCCTGCGGTAGGCAGATATGGAATAGGCTGTGGAGGTTTCTTCCTAAACCCATATGTAGTTAAAGGCCCCGAAGCATGAGGATTTACACCCCTTCCAAAACGCTTAGATTTTAAAAAAATCATAACAACTCTGGTTATGTTTATCCGTATAAATGTCCAATCCTTTTTTGAATTCTACTACATTCTTGGCCTCAAAGATATCTCGTGGCAATGAGTTCCTAAGGCTTAAATGTGTATTCTGTGAAAAAATATTTCCTTTTATCAGTTTTAAATCTGCTTTCTTTCAATCTCATTGAACTCCCCCTTCTTCTTGTATTATGTATTGTCATGCTGAAAGGGCATAATGAGCGGGGTCCCGCAGGGATCGGTTCTGGGTCCGGTTCTATTCAATATCTTCATCAGTGATTTAGATAATGGCATAGAGAGTACACTTATAAAGTTTGCAGACGATACCAAGCTGGGAGGGTTGCAAGTGCTTTGGAGGATAGGATTAAAATTCAAAATGATGTGGACAAACTGGAGAAATGGTCTGAAGTAAATAGGATGAAATTCAATAAGGACAAATGCAAAGTACTCCACTTAGGAAGGCACAATCAGCTACACACATACAAAATGGGAAATGATTGCCTAGGAAAGAGTACTGCGGAAAGGGATCTGGGATCACAGTGGAACACAAGCTAAATATGAGTGAACAATGTAACACTGTTGCAAAAAAAAGCACACATCATTCTGGGATGTATTAGCCAGAGTATTGTAAGCAAGACACGAGAAATAATTCTTCCGCTCTACTCTGCACTTATTAGGCCTCAACTGAAATATTGTGTCCAGTTCTGGGTGCCACATTTCAGGAAAGATGTGGACAAATTGGGGAAAGTCCAGAGAAGAGCAACAAAAATGATTAAAGGTCTAGAAAACATGACCTACGAGGGAAGATTGAAAAAATTGGGTTGGTTTAGTCTGGAGAAGACTGAGAGGGGACATGAGAACAGTTTTCAAGTACATAAAAGGTTGTTACAAGGAGGAGGATGAGAAATTGTTCTTGTTAACCTCTGAGGATAGGATAAGAAGCAATGGGCTTAAATGCAGCAAGGGAGGTTTAGGTTGGACATTAGGAAAAACTTCCTAACTGTCAGAGTGGTTAAGCACTGGAATAAATTGCCCAGGGAGGTTGTGGAATCTCCATCATTAGGGGTTTTTAAGAGCAGGTTGGACAAACACCTGTCAGGGATGGTCTAGATAATACTTAGTCCTGCCTTGAGTGCAGGGAGCTGGAATAGATGACCTCTCAAGGTCCCTTCCAGTTCTATGATTCTAGGAGATAAGGTAAATCGGGTACATCAGTACACCCTATCTATACTATTCAGTATTTTAAATACCTTTATTGTGTCTGCTCATTGGCCTCCTTTCTAAAGTAAACAGCCCCAGTCATTTCAATCTCCCTTCAGATGGAAGTTTTTCCAGGCCTTTATTTTTTCTCATTGTTCATCCCTTAGTTGTCTTTCTATTTCTGCTATATCCTCCTTAACAACAGAGGCCCAGATCCCATGGATGGGAGTTAGGTGCCTAAATATTTTTGAGGGTCTGGGCCAGAGTGACTAGAACTGAACACAGTATTCCAGGTGAGGAATTCCATCTCTAACTTCTAGGACTCCTCTAGAATATATATAGACTTTTTACCATTTGTGCAACGAGCCATGGGTTCCTCGGTCTTTTGAGCGAATATAGTAAATTACTTGGTTTCTGGCTAATTTAAAGTCAATTAAGTTAACTTTATTGGTAAAACGACAGATTCCTAAAAGCTAGACTCAAATTGGGTAGAGCTACATTGACAAAGCTGCATCAAAGTGAAATTTTTCCCCACAGAAGTTCACATGACCATTTTTGCTACTCCATTTTGAGACATATCAAATTTCTGTTTCATTTGCTGTAAAATTTCCAAATTAAAAAAGGGCAAATATCAGATGTGTTTACCAGGTGAACTGATGTTTGTCTTAAAGAAATACCGAATTGCGTTTTTTTGCTCAGGAGTGAGAATTTCCCCAGTTTTACACAAAGTTCCTGGTTTTGGTGGAAAACCCTACAAAATTTCAATCGCTTTTTCCACAAAAATGGATCATTTTTGAAAATTTACAGCGAGATATGAAAACTTCTGGTTTTGACCATTTCTAGTTTTGTCTGGAATTTTCACACACCTCTGTGTGTTGGTTTCCAAAAAATACATGTGTGTGAAAGAGAAGAAAGTAACAGGAAATAAGGTGTTCAAATTCAAGCTGCCTTTTTCTGGCTGGCTGAAGTGATCCCACCTAACTTCACTATGTGACCCTGAAGAAAGTCATTAGTAGTTGATTACACTCATAGGTCTCATTGGCTTCAGACACCAGGGTAAAAGGCAGAGTATAAGAACCTAAATAGAACATCAGGATCGGTCTCCTGAAAGTCAAGGACAAGACAAAGAAGGAGTGATAGGGAGAGCCGTGTGTTCCGTAGAAAAGAGCGAGGGCTGACATGATCACGGACTATA